GAAGGTATTAAAAAAAAAAAAAAAAAAAAAGACATACTTATTATGATCTTGCACCTGTCATTGCCACTAAGATACACAAGCCCTGTCTCCTAAAGTCTAGCGTGTTTCTTCCTGCAATTCAAGTAGCAACCCACCGTTTGGTAGTCCATGTTTGAGTACCAAAAGTAGCCAAGTGCACTCCGCCAGGGTTTCCAGAGAAGATGTGAAAGACAAAGTCCTCAATCCAAAGTATGTAGATTATTTTCCAATAAGATGGAACTTAACTACATAATTACTATGCTTTATAATTTTTAGGAAGAAAATACGATTAGGGCAAGATGATTAGAAATAGAATGCCTAGGTAAAAGTCATGAACTTTCTGATAACTTCAGCTGCTGTTGCTGGTTATGTAAATATCTAGCTTTCATTTTTTTCTCTAAGGAAATCTTTTAAATTCTCATGCCTATGATACTTCTAGACATTGTAAAACCTATTAGCCTACTTACAGCTTCAGTCAGCCAAGACCACACATTTTCAGCGTTAACAGTTACAATCTTTTGATGGTTTCTTTCATGGCCTGTTGTAACTGAGTCATTAAGAGCTGAGATTCTCTCAACCAGCAAACAGACTCAAATAGCCGTTTCTCTAGCTAAGACCGTCTGTGCTTTTACATTTTCTCTGCCAGGTCAGAAACACAGAAGATGGAAAAAAGATCACCTCTTTTCCCTCATCCACCTGAGATCCTCTGACTCTCACTTCCCAATTGGAATCCAGTTGCCTGAGTTACTAAATTTCTAACTAGGCTAGCTCCTACTCACTCTATGCAGCCTACTCCTCTGGCTTCCTCCACCTTTCTAATGAAAGGCTAATTAGCATTGAAAGATCATCTTTAGTGAAGCAGACCTCTCTGAAGTTCTTAAACAGCTGTGAAAAGATTATAAAGAAAATTCAAGATCCTAGATCAGGGATCAGTAAGCTTTGTCCATATCAACGAGATGGTAAATATTTCAGGCTTTGCAGGCCATTAATGGTCTCTGCTGAGACTACTCAGGCCTGCATTATAGCTTGAAAGTGGCTATAGATAATATGTAAACAAATGTGCGTGACCATGTTCTCATAAGACTTTATTTGTGAACACTGAAGTTTGAGTTTCATATAAATTTGATGTGCTATGATATAGTATTCTTTTCTAAATTTTAACATAAAACCATTCTTATCTCATAGGCAGAAGGCCACATTTGGCTTATAGGCCATAAATTGCCAATCCCTGCCACAGATGATTAAATGCCTAGGTATGTTACCATGGTAAATTGTATAACAATAAATAGTAATAGGTCAAAGAAGAAAGACATCAGCCAGGACCAAAAGAATCCAAAAGCTTCCTTGAGAAAGTGAGATTTGAGTTGGGCCTTAAAGGAAGAGTAGAATATACCGGGGGGGGGGGGGGGGGGGGGGGGA